ATAGAAGTCACATGACTGCCCTTCCTGCCATTCTTCATTTATCCTTCTGCTCAATTTAATTTCATAAGGCAAACTTATTTTCATAACTCTCCAACCTCTTTGTCTTTTACTCAGGATTCTCAGTGAAGTCCCCCATGCTCCCATCAGCTACTGGCTCTGCTGTGCTGACTTCTGAGTTACCAGCCACCTACCGAGATTAGGGGAGTCCTGACATAATCTCAGAGACTGCAAGGAGGCCATGTACATTGGCTTCTTCTGCTCCCAAAATGCTTCATAAACCCTTAGGAGCCTGGACTACTAGAGTGTTTAACAATGTCCACCAGGCGGTGCCACTCCACTGGTGGTACTTCTGATGGCCATTACAATTCTCCCTGGCAACCTCTACGGTTCACATATACAGCACTCCTTGATCGCTCTATGCCTTAACAATGGGAAAAGAGGAGCATTTATTGGATACATAGGGGTGTGTGGGGGGAGGAACAGATAATGACCCTTAGGTAATATTTACCATTTTCCCCCTTGGGATGGATATGGCTTACAATGAGTGTGGCTTGACTGCCACCTCCTGGATTAAGGTTTGGAAGCACTGGGCAGCTCTGGGCAAAGTCCCTGGAGTAGTGAAATTTATCAAAAGCAGACTGCTGCAACTCCAGAGCTGTTCTTTCATAACTCTCATTAAATAATTACTGTCTGTTCAAGCAGAACTGACTTCTCCTTCATCCCATTACTTTAGGAGAAGTGCTTATTTTTCATTAGTTTATTCCTCCCAAGACCCAATAGAAGAAGTGGAACCTGACCACCTTATTTAAGGTAATTAAAAATACATTCATCTTGGCTATCTATCACCAAGAAAGCAACAAGAACTGCTGGTGAGGATGTGGGGTAAAGGTATCCTTATACATTGCTAGTGGAATGTATTTTAGTGCAGCCACTATGGAAATCACTATGGAGTTTCCTTAAAAATAAAAACTAAAAATAGAACTACCAAATGATCCTGTAGCATTCCTGGCCATAAACCTGAAGGAATCAAAGTCAGCATACAGTAGAGACACCTGCACAGTAAGGCACTATTCACAATGGCCAAGTCACGCAGCCAACCTAGGTACCCATCAACAAATGAATGGATAAAGAAAATGTGATCTGTATATGCTAAGAAGTATTATTCAGCCACAAAGAATAGCAAGACAAGGTTATGTGCAGGACAATAGATGGATTACATTAAATGAAATAAGCCAGAGTTAGAAAGATAAATATCGTAGATTTTCTAGGTGGAATCTAGATTTTAAAAAGGAAAATATATGAAAGCAGCAGAGAGAATCAATAGCAGAGGGAGGACTAGAGGTGGCTCAAGTGGAAGAGTACCTGCTTTGCAAGCACAAAGCCCTGAATTCATAACCCAGTCCCACAAAAAGAAAATGAGGGGGAGGGGACCAATTGAGAAGAGGAAGAGGAAAAAGAGAGTGATGATCAAAATGTAATATATGCAAGTATGAAAATATAATGAAGACTACTCTTCTGTAAAATTAATAATTTTAAAAGCAAAAATACTTTCTTCTGACTTGGTTGCATTTCCCAGCATAAAATACTTGATCCACAATTTTTGGATACACAATTTTGAAAGCACATTACATGTGAATATATACTTAACATATTTTCATAATGTCTAATGTGGTGTTTGCCTTTGTTTTCAGGGGTAGGAAAATATTTACAGAGGAAAATCTCCAGTACTCAAACTAAAATCTGATTTACCTTCTATTTTTTTTAAAGATCTTTAATATCTTTTATTCAAAAAAGGAGTTCAAATACTCAATAAATGTATTAAAAACAAAAAATTATGAAAATATGTATAATCTCAGCAGTAGTCAAGAAAATGTAAATCAAAGCAAGATCATTTACACCAGACTAGCCAAAATGAAAATTATTTGGTGCATGCCACTGGCCTAGCTACAGTGATTGCATCTGTGGTGAGCAATATGCTCAGTGTAGTTAAGTTCTGCTTAATAGCTGAGGAAACTCCTCACCGCCTCCTTTGGAAGTAAATGAGAAAGCCTGTAACTCCAGGAATCTAAACTCACAAAGCCTGTATTATCTAAATGAATGTTTCATTTGTTTTTTTAAATCAAATTCAGACCTAAGTGATCACAGCCATATATTTACATCAACTTAAACTTTCATGACTTTCTTATTTATTGAATGACACTAAGCAAATTTTTTAAACTTCCTAATCCTATTACTTACTATGTATAAAATATGAGCAACATTCCTGCTTTCATAGTTACTGCTTTCGTTATGTACAAATCACTATACTAGACAATGTGGAACAGAATCAGATGAATCCTAATCTTTAGAGACACTGAAAATTCAGTGAGGCAAAAACATTGGGTATCATTCTTGCCTATGCTCCTGACAGGAGATCCCACCCTCATCTAGGGACAGGAAAACACGCTAGATTGACATGTGTTGTTTTCATTTCCCAGATCCATTGTTATATCAATTCATGTTAACTGACTAAACATTTTCCAAAATGTTATTGGAACCTTCCTCACTTTCACAAGAAATGACCCTGTGTGCCAAAGTAAAGAATAAAAAGAATTAAGGCTGTACAAGAGGGAAATAAATTTTCACTGCCAACAAAGGATATTTTCTAGGTGGGTGTTTGTTTTAAAATTTTCTGTAATATATTTAACAGCAGACATCCACAAATCACTATAAACACAAAACTCTAAATCATAAATTACTTACAAGTGATGATGTCAAGACTTGTGGTAAGGTGCTTCTCAGAAGAGCACATTAAGAAACAGGCTTATGTTAATTAAATTTTCAAGTTATTTCATGTTTGAAGCTATCAAAAGAAAAAAATAAGATCCTTTAGAAAGTTACGAGAACATAGCTTTTCAACAAATAGTGTTAAGGGCTCCTTTCTAATGTAAAGACACTTAACACAAAACAATAGAGAAAAATCCACTTGGTCCAACTTGCGAAGACTAGCCTAAAGTTTTAGAAGCAGTTTTTCTAATTCCTAGCCAGTGGTTATATAGAGGAGGGCTTAAAAGAAAAAAAGCCAAGCACATTTTTCAATCAAGTCCGATTCACTACTTAGTATGGACCCAGCCTTATATTGTAGCACAATAAAGATAAAAGAACCAAAAATGTGAGTCACATGAGAAAACATATCTTCTGTGATCCCATTTCAGTGGGAAGTCAGACAATCTAACTAAGCAGGAGAGCCCAGTTCTAAGCCTGAGTCTGCCACAGCTTTGCTAGGTAGTCTTCACATGACATATTATTTTATCAACATGCTACTTGTATCCCCAGCTGAACAAGAAAATTAACTTGGTACCTGTATTAGTTACTTTTCTCATCACTGTGACAAAATACTTGACAGAAACAACCAGATAGAAAAAGGATTTATTTGAAGACACGATGCACAGATGTCAATCCATAGTCCTCGGCTTCACTGACTGTGGGCCATGCAGAGGCAGACATCATAGTAGGAGCAGCACATAAAGAAGTCTGTTGGTGAACATGGCAGACAGGAAACAGAGAGCCAGGAGGGAACTGGAGACCAGATAATAATACTCAAAGGCACACCCCAAGTAACCTACCTCATCCAACCAGCAACTAGACCTCACCATCTTAAGTTTCCGGAACCTCCCAAAAGAGCACCACTGGCTAGGGAAAAAGCATTCAACACAGGAGCCAAGGGAGACATTTTATTTTTGCTCAACCTTTTTTTTTTCCTTTTTTGCTATTCTAGAGATTGAACGATGGCTTCATGAATGCTAAGTAAGTGCTCTACCACCGACAGACATTCCATATTCAAACCATAACATAACACCACCCCTATATCCAAAGTTTCCAAAAAAGTAAAGAATAACAAACTATTTCAAATTTATTTACTAAATAAATGCCATACAGTGGTATGTGTGTGTGTATATATATATATATATATATATATATATATATATATATGTATATATATATATATATATATATACGTATATATATATATATACGTATATATATATAAAATTTGTAAACTCTTAATGAAATAAACCTAAATTAAAACCATCTGTGGAGGTAAGATATTTATTAATTTTAAAACATGCATACACACAGTAAGTTCACTGTCTCCTACTAGTACATATACACATTTCATATTAGTATGTGGTCAAATCATATCTTTGTAAAGACTAAATAATCATAAACTAAAAAAAGAGATTATTTTGGATCAGTATCTACAGTTCCAATTTGCAAAAACCTTTTGAGTAATTCTTCCAAGGTTCTAACCAGATATAATCATAAGTCTCAACATGGTCTTACGTGAGTTTTAGTTCCTTAATTCTGAAGTTACAAGGTGACATAACAGGCAAAATATACCAAACGCAAATATATATATTATAAGGTAACTGATCCTAGACCCTCAGACATTAAACTAGTATCTTCACATTGACCTTTATATAAAAACAGCATTGAAATAAGTTGGGATACCACTTGACTTTAAGTATTGTCTGCTTTCTTTGCACTAAAGTTGGTTGGCACTATTTGTGAAAGTAAAAAATAAACTGACTATTTTAATTTGAAGCCTGTCAATGCTAATATGGTGATTGTTTTTAGCATGTTAGCCTTGCTAGTCAAGTCAAACTACTGGTCAGAGATTAAAGGTAGAGCTCTTAGATCAAAACCACATTTCAATTTAACCACCACCTATAAATTTGTACAATGGAACCCTTTGTTTTACCTCCTTGTGAATGTCCTACTCTTTTGAGGTCTAAGTCTCCAAGACCAGAATTTCAGTATTAAGCTATTCAGAATAATAAAGAATTATAGTTAACTCTTCAGTTAAGTTATAGTCAATTGCTTTTGGGGAAAAAAAAAGAAACACACTTTTAATTTTAAGGCAAAAAACCTGCTCAAATTCTGGCCCCTGTTCTCTAAAATGATAAATGCATACCATGAATGGAAATCCAAAAACCAAGAACCTAAAACAAAATTGGTCTAACCTCCCACCTAAAAAGTTGAGGACCTATGCACTAGAAAACACGTGTGGGATTTTGCACCTTGGTGAAAAGCTTCTGAACATTATCATTCGAAAACTACCAGTGCACAAGACTGGAGTCCATAATAACAGATGACCCTTCCCCAAAGCCTCTTCAGCGAGGTGATTAATAGCATTTGGCCCAGAGAAGAGTAACCAGCCCAATTAATAGGTAGCCCTGCTTCCCCTCTCCTATTTCGTACATATACCCCTTTTGTCAATGAGCAACACAGGGCTCAACTCCAAGGTATCCTTCTCTACTCTTGTTCCATTCATGTTCCTTCACATTAGCACCAGAATCTTACAATACAGAGAACTACTCAATGCCAGTGTTGTACTAAGTCATTAGAAATAAAGGGTTTCTCTGCCAGATCTGCATTACTGTGGTTCGTAGAAGATCGGCAGAGAGACTAGGTTCCCACAATACACAGATTGAGCATTAATAATAATCACAGAAACCAAAGATACACATCTACCATGGACAGCAGTTACAAATCACCTTAATGCCTAGAAACAAGCTCTTTAAATGTATTTTTATGGTTAAGGTAAATAAAACATTTTCTCTTATGGATCCTAGTTTCTTTATTCATTCTCCTCAACTGTAAACATTTATACAGATAACACACAAAGTTCAATGCATGAATAACATGACCTTTTACAATGTTTAACTCCCTTTCATTTACAACTTTTAATCTTGGATAACTTTAAATATACAATCTACTAGCAGCAAATACACACTCATGTAACAAGAATCCTATCTCTATTCTTTCATTGGACATATCTTGAAACAGCATCAGTAGATTAGAAATGCAATGGGATAACAATTGAGGGAGCCTGGTTGGTGGGGCTGGGGGGCAGCCTTGTTCAATTGTCCTTTGAAACATTTTGAAATCTTCATCTTTCTTCTTCTGCAAGGCTTTTCTTAAAACAAAGGCAGTTGAAAAGGAAACCATCAAAACCACGGTATCTCCTCCTAGCATATCAGCACTCCTGTTGCAAGAGGACATTATCTCAAGGGTGAGAGCAGCATCTAAAAGCACAGAAGGATATACCACCAAACAGTTTACACACAGTCTCTCTAGAAATTGATTTCTATGTCACTTGTTTTCTCACATTGTATGTACTGATAGTATTGGTGGGTGCTAGGTAATCTAAGAAAACCTCAGGTTATAGGTATTAAAAACAAGATTTTAAGCTAGGTACAGTGGCACATGCCTGTAATTCTAGCTACTTGGGAAGTAGAGATTGGAAGGATGGTGGCTGGGCTCAAGCGATACAGTACCTAACTAGGAAATGCAAGGTCTGAATTCAAACCCTAGTACCGCCTTCCCCACCCCCATCCAAAAAAAACCCGAATTTAAACCCTAGTACCACCTTCCCCAACCCCATCCAAAAAAACCTCGTAAGATTTTAAAGATGATCTTTAGAATAATTATCAATCCAAACTAACATCAGCACCTCACTGCTTCTTTTATGCAAATGGTAAAAATTTTGACAAAATCAGATTCATGTTTTGTAAGGCCTGCAACTTGTAAAATTTATATGAATTGATTGATCACAGTTCACCTGAACTAACTCAAATGAGACACTGAAACGACCTTTCCCTGGGTCTTGGGAAGCCCTGTGCAAATGAGGGATTAAAATGTAAGCTTTGTTCACTTTACAGTAAATTCATCTTTGATGTCACAGATATTGAAAATGCTTTGTGGAGATTACAGACTAATTTCAATAATATGGTTAAGGCTATGAGAAAATGGAATTATATCACCATCATATTTTATACACAGTTAATGAGTTATTAAATACTTAATGACTTGCTTAAGGTCACATAGCAAATTATCATTTGAAAAGGTCTGATTTTGGTTTGAAGGAGTTTTTAGTACTAAAAAGCTATATTTAAGATCATTTGGTATAGTGTTGATTCCTCTTTATTAGGAAAGAGATTACCAAACAATTATCAAATCTATCCTCCTTTACAAATCCACAAAAACTAATAAAGGAGATAAATAAACATCTTTCTTGAGCATTTGAACGCTAAATTCACATTCCATATCCAATAAAACACAGATTCATTTGTGAACAAAAGATGTAAGCTCTATGAAAAGGGATTTCATCCATAAGACAAATGATACTTCTCATTTTTCAACTGAAATAACTCCTTCTCTGTCAGGAGTTCCCAGAGAATATTTCAGTTGAAGATTTTCTTCAGCAAGCAATAAAATATTTCTCACATTCACACAAGTTTAAGTGGAGAAACCAGACCTACCCTGTTCAGAATCAAAATGATTCTCCGTGCTGGTGCTCCATCCGAGGCAAATCAGTCTCTGAATGATCTGACAGGGGAGATCCTGATGCCTACAAATTAATAACCAAGCATTATGAGGTTCTCAGTAACTGCAAAACTCCCACTCCCTAAAAATTCCAATTCTGGATGTTCAAATATCAAATGCCTAGAATTAACTATTCATAGCTCAAATTGCTTGCATGGAAAAGAATGAAGAGGGTATCTTCCCCTGACTTCTTAGTCTATACATGTGTTCAAAGACACTTCTGAGACAGGTGCGGTAGCTCATACTTGTAAGCACGGCTCTCAGGAGACTAAAGCAGGATGATCTTTAGTTCAAAGACAGCCAGGGCTATACCAAGACCCTGTCTCAAAAATTTTAAAAAAAATTAAAGATTAAAATAAATATAAACAAAAAAAGATACTTCTGATCTGCCATAGCCCATTGCAACCCTTCTCCCTTACTTACTGCAAAACAAAACCAAAAACCTGTTGGAACCATCATATTAAGACTTCAGGGCTGGAGTCATGGCTCAAATGGTAGAGTGCCTGCCTAGCAAGCATGAAGCCCTGAGTTCAAACCCCAGTACCACCAAAAAAAAAAAAAGACTTCAAAGCAGCCATTCTAACTATGATATGCAAAGTAAAGAAAAACATACTTAAAATAAATATACAGGAATTATTAGCACAGACATAGAGACTATAAAACAAGAAACAAATTAATACTTAGGACTAAAACATACACTATCTAAAATTTTTAAAAACTTAACTGTATTGGGCTTAATAGCAAAATGAAGATGACAAAGTAAAATGTCAGAGAACATAAAGATAGATCAATAGAAATCAGATAATCTGAAGAATACAAAGAAAAAGATTAGAAAAAAGTGAAGTCAAAAGATGTAACATGTAGATCAAAAGATCTAATATGTCACTAGATTCTCAAATGGAGGGCAGGGATGCAGCTCAGTGGCAGAGCGCCTGCCTAGCACTTACAAGGCCCTGGTTTCAATCCATAGTACTGAAAAAAAACAAATCTCAGAAAGGAGAAAGAGAGTGTCACAGAAAAATATTTGAAGAAATAATGACTAAAAACTCCCCAGACTTGGTAAAAGATAAAAATTTGAAACAAAGATGAAATCTGGAAAGCAGCTACAGAAAAATGAGACATTGTGTATAGGGAGAACAACAATTCAAATGCCTGAGAATTTACCAGAAATCAGAAAGATCAAAAGAAAGAAAAAAACCTGTCAAACCCAATTCCATATCCATTGAAAATGTATTTCAATAATTAAGGCAAAATACAGTCATTTCAAATGAAGGAAAACTAAGAGAATTTGTCACCACCAGCCCTGCTGTGCAAGAAATGCTAAAGAAAAATTTTCAGGCTGAAGGGAAAGTAAAATCTAGGAAAGAATGAGGAATAACAGAAATAGTAAATAGCTTGGTAAATATGAAAGACAATTCTTTTCTTATAAATTGTTTAAAACATTTATGACTGTTTAAAGCAAGAAGTATGACATGGGTGGGTGGGTTTTCAATGTATGTAAATGTGGTTAAGTATGATAGCTTTAACATAAAGTTCAGATGAGAGGGAAGGGAATATGTTTTCAAGGATTTTGTGGTTTACATTAAGTGGTACAATGTAACCTGTGAAAGATTGGCTATGTGTATTGTAATCCATGCAGCAATCTATTTTTAAAATAATACAAAGAGATAGTACAAAAATACCAAAAATTTTCTAAAACAAAACAAGATCAGAAAGGAAAAACAAGGGAACAAATAAAAATGAATAATAATTATATTAAATGGTAATATTCTAAACATTTTATAGTCAGTAGAATTATAAAGATATGCCCATAATATTCCTATCCCTGGGTTATCAAACTAATTTTGGTATTGACATGAAGGGACTTTACACATGGGATTCATGTTATTAATCAGTTGACAGTAAGACAGAGATCTTTCTGGTAGGCCCAATGTAATCATGTGAGCTCTTCATAAAGGAACCTGACAGAGAAATGAGGCCAAAAGGGCAGAGAGATACCAAATGTAAGTGGGATTTGACCACTGGAGCCTGATTTGAAGATGAAGAAGCCAGCCATCAGTCAAGGAATGTGGGTGGCTGCCAGAAGCTGTGAAGCATCTCAGCTGTCAAACAGAGGTCAGTCAGCAAGGAAACAGATCTCAGCTACACAATTGACAGAATGGATACAAAATTGACCCTACTGATATGCTGTCTGCAACAGATACATTTTAAACTTAAAAATAAGTTAGATTGAAAGTAAATTAAACTTTAAAATATGTATAAGGAGGCTGGAATAGTAGGGGGGTTTTTTGGAGGTACTCTGAACTCAGAAAGCACTATATCACTAGGAAAGCACTCTATCACTTGAGCCACTCCAATAACCCTAGAATGGCTATTTTGATCTCAGGTAAAACAGACTTCAAAGCATAAAGCATTATGAAGAGAGACATTTTATAATGATAAAAGGGACAATGTATTAGAAGAAGCAGCAATGTATGTGTGACTAAAAACAGAGATTTAAAATACATGAAACACTGGGCGCCAGTGGGCTCATACCTGTAATCCCAGATACTTGGCTGAGATTGTGAAGACTGAGGTTTAAGGCCAACCCAGGCAAACGCTTTGCGAGACTCCCTCTCCAAAATAACCACAGTAAAAATGGACTGCAAATGTGGTTCAAGCAGTAGAGGGCCTGCTTTCCAAACACAAAGCCCTGAACTCCAACCCCAGTTACACCAAAATAATAAAAAACAGAATTTTCAATCACCTAGCTAGACTGATCAAAAAAAAAAAAGAGTAAACACAGTAAAATTTAAATAAATATGGTACAATTACAGGCTTCACAGATATTAAAAGAACGGTAAGATGGTACTATGAATAACTTTAGGTCAACGAATGAAAAACTTTGGATGTCACAAAGTCCTGAGGAATATAACTTACCAAAAGAGACACAGGAAGAAACAGAAAATCTGAATTACACTACATCTATTAAAGAAATTGAAAATTTTATTCCAAGCTTTCCCAAAAGTAAAACTTCTTGGATGGATGGCTTCACTGGAGATTTCTATTGAAATGAAACTTTTTCAGAAAATTAAGGAAGAAAGATCACTGCCCAACTTCTTTCATGAGGCTAACAAAACCTTATTATCAAAACATGCCAAAAAAAAAAAAAAAAACACATGAAAAAATGCTCATCATCCCTGGCCAAAAAGAAAATTCAAATCAAAACCACACTAAAATTCCACCTCACTCCTGTTAAAATAGCTATCATTGAAAATAACACAAACAACAAATGTTGGCAAGGATGCAGGGAAAAAGGAACCCTCATACACTGCTGGTGCAATGTAAGATAGTACAACCACTTTGGAAAACAATACAGAAGCTTCTTTAAAAGACTAAACATAGATCTGCTACATGATCTAGCCATACCACTCCTAGGGATATACCCACAGGAATGTGACTCAGGTTATTCCAAAGGCACCTGCACACACATGTTTATTGCAGCATTACTCAAAATAGCCAAGCTATGGAAACAGCCAAGATGCCCCACTACCAATGAATGGATTAAGAAAATGTGGTATTTATACACAATGGAAATTTCACTCAGCCATAAAGAAGAATGAAATTTTGTCATTTGAAAGTAAATGGATGGAACTGGAGAACATCATTTTAAGCAAAGTTAGCCAGGCTCAGAAGGTCAAAAATAGCATGTTCTCCCTCATATGCAGATTATAGATCTAAAACAAATGCAGTAATATTATTGGACATGGGTCACACGCTAAGGGGAGAACATGTACAGGAGGAATAGGGAAAGGGAAGGAAATCTAAACTTGAAAATGTTTGATGTGCCCACCGTAGAGGAAAAATAAAGTAATCTTAAACTGACAGAGGTCACTATGGGAAGGTGACCAGAAAGTAGTGAAGAGGTCTGGTAAAGATGAACCATTTCGGGTTGTAATACACATGTGCATGGAAGCAATGCTAGGAATCTCTCTTTATAGCTATCTTTATCTCAAGCTAGCAAAAACACTATGTCTTTCTTACTATCTCTTAGGTTTTCTCTTCAACAAAACTGGAGAAGAGGACAGAGCAGGTTCTGCCTGGAAGCAAGGTGGGGGGAGAAGAAGGGGTGGGGAGCAGGGGGGAGAGATGGCCCAAACAATGTATGCACATATGAATAAATGAATACATAATAAAAAAGAAAAAAAACCATGGCAAAGACATCTTTTAAAAAAGAAGGAAATTACAGTAGCTGCAGTAGGAGCTTGAATACATATAAAAGAATTAAATAAGTATATTAAATTATCCACGGAATAATTTGTAACTAAGTTTCCCAGTGTTGAAGAAGGGAATAAGAAACCAGAACAAATTATACATTGGATTAGCATTAGATGTGTCTGTGTAGCATAGGTAAGTGTACAAATACATAGCAAATGTGTGTATGTACAAGCATGTACACACCTTGCTCTGTCCTCAGAATGAAGACCTCCCAAGAAGCAGAGAATACACCTGAAGTCCAGATTTTGGTTTCCAAATATGACTGGACCTTGAAGAAATGGCTGGTTCCAGAGCTGAGTCAAAGAAAGTACTAATGAGTCTGCTTTACTGGTTGCACTACACAACAAGGGATTTGCTCAGAGAGTGATGGGGACATGTCAAAAGGACCCAGAATCTACCTTAAAGGGAATCCCATGATGAAAGTAATAGTTTGGTTATTAAAATAAATAGTGACCCAACGATAGGAAAGTAATCTATTAAATATGGGCAAAATATTTGAGCAAGCATTTTATCAACAAAAATATATAGATCTTTCATGTGTAAATAAGTAATGAAAAGATCCTCATTAGAGAGGGATATATAAATTAAAACCACAATGAGATGCCACTCTATACCTAATGGAACAGCTAAAACTAAACTGACAATACCAACCACTGATGAGACTTAAAAACAACTAAAATTCTTATGCACAGCTGGTGAAATGCAAAACAATAGTGACTCTCTTTTTTATAAAGTTAAACACACAGTTTCCATATGACCCAACAAACCCACTCCCAGGTCTCTATCTGAATGTGAAACCCTGCGCACGCACACACACACACGCACACACGTTTGGTGTATTCACTTTTAATCATCAAAAACTGTAAATAACCCAAATGTCCTTCATTAAAAAATCCAGATAAACAGATGATACATTAACACAAAAGCACATTACTCATCAATAAAAAAGAATGTATTATTGGTAAATGCAATAGAAATTTCTAAGAGAAAGAAGTCAGATACAAAACTACATATATATGTGTATGCATATATGGTTTCAAAGCACTTCCCCATGAAATTCTTATTAATTACAAAGGGAAAAAAGTAACTTCATAAGGAGAAGCTTGTCAGACACCAATTTTAGTCATCAAAGTGAACATAATCAAAATGTGACAAACTGAAATTCTGTGCCTTCTAGGATATAATGAAAAGAACGTGACATCACTCTGTGCTTTTCCTGCCAAAGACACAAAATCAACTGCTTTTCATGAGGAAACATCAGATAAATTGAAACTGAGGAAAATGTTATAAAAAAAATTGGCCTGTGACTGCCATGAAAGACAAGGAAAGATTAAAGCACTATTCCAGAACAAAAGAAACAAAAAAGACATAGCAACTAAATGCAGCATGTGATTCTGAACCAGATCCCTTCAATACAAAGGATGCTGTTGGCATCACTGGAAAACTGAGTGTTGTGTGCAGATTTGATAGTAAATTTTATCAGTACTAATTTCTAATCTTGATGGCTCTATTGTGCTATGAAGGAGATTGTAAGAAATACACAGGAAAGAATTCTGCGTTGATGGGACATTGCAACTCACTCTCAAATGCTTAACTTGAGTTCATTGTATTGTTCTTGCAATATTTTTTTTTTCAGGTTTCAGTTTGCTTCAAAATTTAAACGTCTATACCAAAAGAAAAACATTATAATCTCCAGACCACACCCCACGCATGCAAAGGTAGAATGTCTGGAAGTGGGGTCACAAAGCAGTATTTAAGCCTCCTCAGGTTGCTTTACTTGGACACCAAAGATAAGAGCCACTGCTCTAATCAATCACCAAGTCATGTTGATCCCATCCCTGCATAACTCTTGATCTTCCCTCTGTTCAGTCCATACCACTATCGTTTTGTGGTGGATCCAACAATTACACCGATTCTAAACAAATATTGCTTCTGCTGTTTTAGCTGTTATAGTCCTCAAATATATTTATTGCCTCCTAATGCTCTAGGAAACACCTTTAACAGTTAAGACTACCTATAGATAAGTGTGTAGCTAGGAATGTGTATAAATATATAGCGTGTAAGTATGCAGGGGTGAGGAACTCAAGACAGATCCATGGGTTACGCAACACTTGACTTAAACAAACCTATCTTCCAGAAGGCACATAACAGACTTTTCCACGTGAAAATTTTTGTATTGGATAGAGAAGCAAAATGTAGTTCACTGTATTAAAGAAGACTAGTGAGGAGGAGTACCAGGCAAGTCAGAGCTTCAGCCAGAAGGCCTCTGTTTTCTTTTTCCATTAAGATTTCCCATCCATAAACTCATTTATTTTCGTGTTAATCTGTGTAATTCCTATACTTACTTTCTCCTTTATTGTATTCTGTGGTTGGAAATTGAGTAAGTAAATTGAAAGTACAATAGAGAATCAGTTTATAAATATAAAAAGATTAGAACAACAACTGGGCATGGTGGTATATGCTTGTGATCCCAGCAATCAGGAGGCAAGCGGGTAGTGAGTTCAAGGTCAGCCTTGGCTACATAGCAAGACTTTGTTCTCAACAACAAAAAAAGCAAAAAAACTACAAGCAAAAAAACCCCAAACAAACAGAAAAAGAACAAAGGATTAGAACTGCAAATAAAAATATTGAACAAGTGTGAAGGCAGCAAAGGCCTTTCTTTCATTTCATGAAACTGGATGTGGTTATATCAAACCTTTCTGAAAGTATTTTGAGCAACAGTACACTTACAATGAGCAAAGGGAAAATCCTGCAACATTAAAATCCATATGAAATTTAATTTTAGAGGTATACAAGGAATTTATTGAGACTTTATAGTTCCCAAATGCATCTTTACACAACAGGAATTTGTTCAGTTTTGACTCAATGTTACTACTATAGAAACTGTCAGGAAGAGATAAAGCAAAGCAACAGCAGCAAACCCTTTCCTCAGTATCTTTGGGTAACTACCCGTATAATCTGTGATCCTCAACAATACTATTTCTCTTGCTTGTACAGTTCTACAGAACTCTGAAAAGGTAAATATAGAAAAAGCATCCTGCAGGTGGTACACACCTGTAATCCCAGCTACTCAGAAGGGGGAGACAGAAGAAGCATGGCTCAAGATCAGCACAGGCAAAAGATAGCAAGGCCCTATCTCAAAAAACAAACTGTACAGGGTGGTGTACATCTGCAATCCCAGCTATTTGTAAAGCGGACGTAGAAGGATGGCAGTTCAAGATCAGCCTGGGAAAAAGCACAAGACCCTATCTGAAAACAAACTAAAAGCAACAGGATTGGGGGTGTGGCTCAAGTGGCAGAGGTCCTGCCCAGCAAGCATAAGGCCCTGAGTTCAAACCCCAGCGCCACCAAAGGAAAAAACAAAAAAGAAAAAGCAGCCACGTGGATAAGGAGGCAGCATACAGGCACTGTCTACAAAACAGAAATTCTTTGATAATGAGAAGGAAGAACTAAATTCCAAAACAAAAGTTGCCTTGCTTCAAGCAACACTGAGAAATGCTTGAAGAAGTAAATGGAAAGTACAAGTCGCACCCAAGGTTTGTAGTTAATTATGGTTGGCTCAGGAGACTTAAAGTTTTCAAATTTTCTTAGTGTAAAAATGAATGATATGGCTATTGTTGATATAAAAGTACAAGAAACATTCATATTCTGAAAAGCAAAAGGGAATTATAGAGAAAGATGACTGTATGAAACAGCAATCGTTTTATTTATTTATTTATGGGGGCAAAAAGAGGGTTTGAACTCAGGCCTCTTGCTTGCAGGCACTCTGCCACTTAAGCCATGCATCCAGTGCCCTCCCCACCTTTGCTTTAGTTATTTTTCTAGAGTCTCATGGTTTTGCCTGGGGCTGGCCTCAAACTACCATACTCCTACCTACCCATCCCATGTAGCTGGAATTACAGATGTGCACCATCACACCCAGATTATTGGTTGAGATGGGGTCTTGCTTACTTTTTGCCCACGCTGGCCTCGAATCGCAATCCTCCTGATCTCCGCCTCCAGAGTTGCTGGGATTATAGGTGTGAGCCACTGTGCCCGGCGAAACAGCAAATCTTTAACATGGATGAAATGGATTGTCTTGGGGAAAAAAAATGTCAAGGAAACGATTCATTTTGAAAGAATAAAAATAATTCCAGAGATTCACTCTTTTAAAGTTAGATTTATAACTCTGAAGTTAATGCAGTGAAATACTACAAACTGGCACAGACCTATTGTTCTATAAAGACCACAGCTAGACTATATACACACACACACACACACACACACACACACATACACTCTCACACATTTTAATCTGTAAAAAATGAATTACTGCCAGGGGTAGTGACATATGCCTGTAATCCCAGCATTTGGAAGGCTGAAGCAAGAGGATTAAGAGTTTGAGGCCAGCCAGAGCTACATAGTAAGTTACAGGCCCTATATGTAACAGGGCCTGTAACTATATAAAACAAAATTCAGCAAGCAAAATCCTAGGTCCCATCAAAAAACCTACCCAATTCTTAAGAGCAAATTTTTCCTAAAACACAGTTAAGTCTGAGAGCCCATGACCCTAAAGTACATCAACAATAAGTCTGTGGGAGCCGGAGTTCCATTGCAAAGAATAGTTCTGTACCTGATGCAAGGCAATACTGGGGGCGTGCAGGTCGATAGCAGCCAGAGAAGGAATTCGAGATTCTAAAACAGTTTTGTTCTCTTTCTTTATTAGCCTAGAACTTCGAGCTAGATAAAAATAACCATAAAAACAATGAAAAAATTAGGCATTTTGTTAGTTTTTCCCATTCCAGATTGTCCCTCAGTATGGGCTCTTACCCTTAAAGAAGTATGCACATATTTACCTACTTCAATATGTAAAGTTACTATAGATTTTTGTTTTTTAAATTATGTTTATTTAACATGCAATTTAAGTAACATAAACACAAAGGTTGAAAAAAGCAAAAGCATCATCAACATACCTATGCCTTCCAAGGCTTTCAGTTCAGGGAGATGGTTATAGTTTAGTTCAGGCAAGCGGACATCCGCCTTGGCACACTCCCTTCCCTTCTTATTTGCCTGAAGGAGGCTCTTTTCAGTAGAGACCTAACCATCAGAATGGTTAACACAAATACATTAGCTTACAGGCAAGCTAGGCTTTCTTTCTTTTATAACTACTATGTTCATATCCTAAGATTTGCAGATTTGAAGGGCTAGAATAATTTTTTAAATTGAAGGATATTAATAACACAGAAAACAATTTCAACCAATTACTTTAAACCTCTTCTTCACAAAATTTATTAAAATTGCTAACAAGTGGAAAACCTGATTGTTCTGCATTTCTCCTACCTCTGGCAACCTCCAGTGTAAGTCCTGGCAAGCAGTAAAAGGTTAAAAGATAGGCACAGATCCCCTGGTCCTTCAGGCCAATGAGGCCAGGCCTACAATACTTTTCAGGAAATAGTTGTCATTATTTACCTTAATTTTGAACAGTGTATATTCATGTGCACTGTCACATCTCCTCCATTTTTTTTTTTTTTTTTACTTTCTTAATACGATCTTGCTACTTGTTTTTCTATAGGTGTCCTTAGTCGGCACAGAATACTATCTTCCCAGGAATTGTTTATTAAGTAAAATCAGTATAGCTTCAATTATTTTCCTAATTTTATTATTATTGCTTCCTAATTTATAAATTCAGAAAAATAATAAAGCAAGAAATAGCACTGTGATTTTATGAATTTGAATTTCCTTTTTTTTTTTTTTTTGGTGGCACTGGGGTTTGAACTCAGGGCCTCATGCTTGGTAGGCACTCCTATCACTTGAGCCGCACCACCAGCCAAATTTTATGAATTTGAAATCTTATTCATTTAAGAGTCATAGAAATCCTATATTCTTTTCCACATTTTCAAAACAAGTGGCACAGAGAAATTATATGATTTGCTAAATGAAAAAAAAACTATGTAGGATGAAACCATATATGTGTGTATACATATGTTTGTTTATATAATGAAATACACACACAACAAACACATATATAATGATTCACATATAAACCCACTGGGTTTCCTTAATGCCTCAAATTTAATATTCTGTGAAATATGTCACTCTGCCAGGGAGACTTTAAAAATGCCGTAGTGACTTGAAACTCTAAATACAAAAGAAAATTAAATTAAAAATGAATTCAAACTACCAGATTTACCCATTCAAAGAGCAACAAATAAGACACACAATATGTTTACAATTATATATTTATTCACATCTTAGAATCGGGCATACAGTATGGGACAGGTGAGTTGATCTTTAAACTAGAAGTTGAAGAGTCTAGGTTTAGCTCTGCCTGCACTAATTTTATTAAGAAAAGACTCCAGAGGGTCTTCTCCAACTCACTAATCTTTGCCACCTTTCTTGATTATCTTTCCAAAGAAGAACAACAGAAATAGGATCTAAAATTTTCAGCAAGCATTGATTATGCAGTGCCTGAAAGCAGGTTAATATCAATTCTGGCAAAATTGCATTGAGCTAGCTTCTTTGAAAAGCTTTGTTAATTAAAATAATCTTCCAGAGCAGACCAGGATTACAAAACACAAATAACCACAAAGAAATCAGTAGGGTATTATCAGAAAGGAAAGCACTATGAGCAGGGAAATTATAAACTAAGAATAACTAACAGAGAACCAAACACAGTTTTCAAATCATGACAGATACACAGAATGACTTTTTTCAGCTCTGAGGAAAATGAGAGTAAAGAAATTTGTGGAAAGACATGAAAAAAATGCTCACCATCCCTGGCCATAAAGAAAATGCAAATCAAAACCACACTAAGATTCCACCTCACTCCTGTCAGAATAGCTACCATCAAGAACACCACCAACAATACATGTTGGCGAGGATTCAGGGAAAAAGGAACCCTCACACACTGCTGGTGGGAATGTAAGATAGTACAACTACTTTGGAAAACAGTATGGAGGCTTCTTAAAAAACTAAACATAGATCTGCCATAAGATCCAGCTATACCACTCCTAGGGATATACCCAAAGGAATGCGACACAGGTTATTCCAAAGGCACCTGCCCACCCATGTTTATTATGTTTATTCACAATAGCTAAGCTATGGAAACAGCTAAGATGCCCTACTACTGATGAATGGATCAAGAAAATGTGGTATTTATACACAGTGGAATTTTATTCAGCCACAAAGGAGAATGAAACTTTGTCATTTGCAAGTAAATAGATAGAACTGGAGAACGTCATCTTAAGTGAAATTAGTCAGGCTCAGAAGGCCAAAAATCACATGTTCTCCCTCATATGTAGATTACAGACCTAAAACAAATGCAGAAATATTATTGGACATGGATCACACACCAAGGGGAGATTGTGCACGGAAGGAATAGGGAAAGAGAAGGAAACCTAAAACTTGAATGTGGTTGATGTGCTCACTGTAGAGGAGGGAATATAGTCATCTTAAACTGACAGGGGTCACTATGGGAAGGGGACCATGAGGTAGTGAAGAGATCTGGTAAAGACGAACCAATATGGGTTGCAATACATATGTGCATGGAAGCAACACAAGAATCGCTCTATATAGCTGTCTCTATCTCAAACTAGCAAAAACGCTGTGTCTTTCTTACTATCTCTTATGTTTTCTCTTTAACAAAATCAGAAAACAAGAGGACGGAACAGGTTCTGCCTGGAAGCAGGGGTGGCAGGTGAGGGTGGGGTGGCCCAAATAATACATACACATGTAAGTAAATGTAAAAATGATAAAATAAAATTAAAATTATATATATATATATATACACACATATATATAAAGAAATTTGTGAAGAGAATGGCAGACAGTGAATAATTGAAATACATCTGTGTAGGAAGATGGCATAATGAAACACAATGAAAAAAGCTGTTGAATAATACATGATAGGGAAAGAGTGAGGAATAATAATAGAGGGGGTTAATTTGATTAAAGTACAATATATTTACAGGTGAAATACCATGGCAACCCTTTTGAACAATGAATATAGCTTAAATAATATTCACTTAAATAATAGGAATGTAAAACAGGTCCTATTGACGGAGGGTATTTGTGGGAGGAGGAGGAGGGGGAATTGAGAATTACTGGAGGGTAAATATGGTTGATGTACTTTATATATTTGTATGAAAGTAAAACAATGAAATCTGTCAAAATCATTTTAAGTAAAAGGGAGGAGGATGAGAGAGAATGATGGTGGGGGTGAACCTAACCAAGGTACATTGTAATTGTAAGCATGTATGGACATGTCACAGTGAAAGCCTAAGTACAAGTAATATATGCAAATAAAAATGTTTTATAAAAAAATTTTGTGAGGAAAAAAATACTCCTTTGGAAATACATCCATACTTCCCTTTCTCTGTGAAAAGAATTCAGACATTTACCACAGTATGTGTATGTGTGTGTGTGTGTGTGTGTGTGTGTGTGTTGAACTCAAGGCTTTGTGCACACTAAGCACATGCTCTACCACTGAACAACACCCCTCTTGTCCCTCGTAAGCAGTTTTCACGTGCTAAACACTGTTTTAAGAGATGCGGTAGAACAGTGAGGAAAACAAAGCACAAATCATTGACTTAGAAGCTTACAGTCTATTGTGGGGAGACAGACAATACAATGGGAAAAATTATACAAGGAGAGGGATTAGAGAGTAATAGGAGACCAAATGAGTTACAATATTAAAGAAGACTTCAGATTATCTTTGATGAGGGCTAAAGAAGAGAAAATGCACATTTGTTGTGTTATCTGGGGGAATAATGTTCTAAAGCAGAGGAAATGGCAAGTACAAAAGCCCAAAGGCAGAAGTATGTCTGGCCATATTCCTGGAAAAACAAGGAAACCTGTGTGGCTGGAACAGCTCAAGAAAGAAAGTCAACAGCGACTAGATAGAGGAGTGGGGGACTCTAAAGATGTAGGACTTACTGGCCCTGTAAGGACTTTGGCTTTTACTCAGTGTTGAGAAGCCAGTGGAGGTTTTGAGAAGAAGAATAATGATTACTTAACTTTTAAAAGCAGCATTGTTGCTAGGCGCTGGGGGTTCACACCTATAATCCTGGCACCTCAGGAGGCAGAGATTCGGAGCATCACAGTTTGAAGCCAGCTGGGGCAAAAAGTAGTTTACAAGACCATATCTTGAAAAAAATGCATCACATAGAAAAGGCTGATGCAGTGGTTCAAGTGGTAAGAGTGCCTGCCTAGCAAATGTGAGGCCTTGAGTTCAAAACTCCAGTGCTGCCAAAAAACAAATAAATAAGCCACATTCTGGAGGCTATGTTAAAAATAATAATGCTCCTTCCTGTCTATCTCTAAACCCTGTACATGCTTTTAATGTTAAAATTTAAAATTTGACAGTATTTTGTTGTTGTTGTTGTTGTTGCTATTTGCAGTGCTGGGATTTTAACTCAAAGGCCTCATGCTTGCTAGGTAGGTGCTCTAACTACTTAAACCACTCTGCCAGTCCTTTTTTGTTGGTTGTTTTTCATTTTGCCCAGTCTGGACTCAAACTGCGGTCTTCCTGATCTCTGCCTCCTGAGTAGCCAGGATTACAGGTGTGAGCCACTGATGACACCCAGAGACAGCATGTTTTTAATTTGTTGATCTTTGACTAGACCATGAACCCCATAAAGAAGTTGATCTAGTTCCATTCCAATGTCTTACATGCAATAAATGATCAATAAATATTTGTTAAAATTTGATGTGGGTAAGGTAATAATATATTTATCTTCTCATTTACTCTTCAAAAAAAAATTGATCCACAAGCATCAAGTTAGAAAAACTTATTATGTTGTCAAAAAAAACTAAAACACCTGACATTGAAATAACATCCTTCAGACTTATAAAACTTAAACTTTTAGAATTCTACATTATGACCATGACAAACTGGACTGATACACACATAATTAAGGCTTCACGTTATGTCTACAAATACAACTCTTCACTTTGATATTTAATATGAACACTGACCAGAACCTGCTCTCCCACCACCGACAATGGTCTACTTACTGATGTGGTCAAGTTAATATTACACATTCCTGATGGAGAATGTTTATTTGGTTTAACAAATGGAATACAATACTTCTTAGTTTTCTCATCCACTCTGTAATCAAAAACAAGGTTTTTTTAAGTTAATCAGCAATAATTATTTTTTCAAGCACAAAACCAAATGATTGATCAGAATTTAAAACCTATTCCCAAATACCATGAACATAAACCTAGTGAATCATTCTACCATCTATCACCACACTCATGCTTCCTACTAAATAATTTACTTTCTTTTAAGTAAAATTCCTAAAGGGAACTTCTGTGTACCACTAAGTGCTCACAGCCATACCGTACAGCAACCATTTCTTTTATTATAATAATCTCCTTTCACATTATTAGCTCTTCGCTTTAGTTTAGACAACCCTACTTTCTTAGGACTCAGGAGAATTTTTTTTTTATCAAATCCTAGTAATTTTCATCACACAGGTCAAAAAGTTTTAACAGCCATCTGACAAGTATGACTAGCATCCAGAATTCTGAGAAAAAACAAATGTACATGAATTAGCAAACACTCGTAATTTACAAATATATCGTCAAGCAATTTTCATCTTATTTTCTAAATTCATACCTGTAACTCTGAACTGGGATAGTTCCTACTCCAGAAATAATACCGGGCGCAACTGCAGAAAGACTGTGTGTAAGTGGAGGAATTGCCGTAACTGGACTCCTGGTGTGATCCATGTGCGTATTGCTGCTGTCTCTGAGGCTTGTGGAAGACACTGCTTTGGTGTGGCTTGTCTCACTGTCACAGAGACAGCCAGAATTTGAAGCTCTGCCTTTTTCAACTTTCTCTCTATCAATTTTTGACCCTTTTATTTTAATTACTTTAGAATCCTTAATTTTGGGATCAGCATTGGTATCCTGAACGTTAATAAAAAAATGTGAAGATTGTTAATGGTCTGAAAAGAATGAAAAATCACCTCTTCCTATAAAGTACTTCTCACCCAGAGCAGAATTTCACAAGTATTTCTTTCTCATATCCATTATCTTTATTCTACCTATGAAATTAAAATCAGAGCCAGGTCCCTATTCAAATAGTCATTGTGAAAATACAAAGAGAATGGAAATGTAATTCACACCAACTCTGATACATGTCTCTGTGTGTGTACATGTGTTTGTGTGTATTAATAAATTTCAGTAGAAAAAACATGGAAAAGGAATCAAGAATGCCTCTTTCACTCTCTATATTCAAGAGTGAGACAACATAAAATTGAAAACTTTTTTTATTTTGGTTCACTTGATGGCAGTGAGTTGGTAGTTGATCTGAATTATCTAATCAAGAACAGTTCTGGGTACCTTCACAGAAAAAGTTAACCTAAAATAGACAAATCTCAAATTTAAAATACTCTACAGAAAATTCTAAAAGCAGTATTTTTCTCTCCCATCATTAAGGAAGAAAAGTGGTGTGGTGTGTGTGTGTGTGTGTGTGTGTGTGTGTGTGTGTGTGTGTGTGTGTGTGTGTGTGTGTGTGTGTGTGTGCATTTGCTCCCATGTGTATGTCTAGGTGTTCTTGGATGAGTATGTAGAACTGAAGTTCTCTGAGGCAGCCACATGCACATTAAAGATCCTGCAGATTGTTTGACCATGGCTGAGAATATCTGATTGTAGAGAGATGGAATGTTATAGATGGGTGGCCAAAATTATTTTGGGCTCTTTTAGGCCCTTTAATTAGCCATTTATTTTCAACCTCTGTATCTGACAACATCCTTGTGACTATTAGGTAAAAGTTTTACAATGTATTGGTAAGCTTAGCAGACCTCTAGCCTACACCAGCCCTCAAGCTGAGAATGCTGTAATCTGAAACTTATAGAAAAGCTTTCCCCACTCTGCTGTAGCCCACCTACCTACGCGCCCAACAATGTACTTGGAAAATGAATTTATGACTGTCTTGTGACTATAAAAGTTTATGTAACTTCTTCCACAGAGGAACATGGCACGCAGGGTAACATGAATCCAGGTTCCAGAGCTATGGTCATTCATATTTGGCTCAGAATAAACTATTTTATTTCCTTCAAAGCAGAGCTATTATTTTACATTGTTTGACTTCCTGAAAAGTACTGTTATAGTCTAATACACATTAGGCACTCAAAACGTAATATATAAAGTTTTTTTAAAATAGGCAATTCTAATAGGGAAGGTTTTTTTATAACTAGGCTAAAAGTTAACAAACTTGCTCACTATTTAAAAAAAAACCTCTTTAAAAAAATCTTCATTTTTCCCCTCAAATTTAAGATTTAAAGCATGAACATTTACCTGTACCACAAGCATTTTTCTTTCTTCACCTAAGGAATCATCTTTTTCCTTTTCCTTCTTTCTGTTTTGGGATTTTTTAGTTAAAGAAGTATTCCTGGCATCTTTCTGTATTTTTAACTGTAGTTCCTGAGAAAATCTACATAAAAATGCATTTCTTAATAAAATAAAATTATATAAGAAAGATAAACCTAGAAGAAATGTGATTTTCAAGATTATTTTTATTGATTTATTAAACCAGTGTATTTTATTTAAAATGAGAAAAAATCATGCCCTAGATCAACAGTTCTGAAAGGGTGGTCTGTCAACCTTTGGGGATTCCTGAGACCCTTTCAGGAGGTCCATAAGTCACAGCTATTCTTATCTTAACATGAAAATATTGTCTTTCTCATCCTGTTAACATTTGCACTGATGATTGAAACAAACAAAAGCAATAGTGGGTAAAACTGCTGTTTCAATTCTTACCAAGAATTCTTACCAAGAATTGAAACCCTGGCACCAAACTGTCCTGGCAGTCACTGTGTTACTGCGTTCTTCATGGCCACACATTCTAATTTACAAAAAAACAAAATAAAATGCAGTTTCACTTAAGAATGTCCCTGATGAAGCAGTGATGAAGTATTAACTTCATTAAAGCTAAACCCTGGGACACATGTCTCTCTTCATATTCTGTGTAACAAAATGCATAAACACATTTTGTGAAATGTCTAATACACCTCTACTATGACCCAAAGTGCAATAGTTATCTTAAAAAAGTCACTTGTAGGCAGCTCACATGTGTAATCCTAGCTACTGAGATCAAAGCTCACATGTGTAATCCTAGCTACTGATCAAGAGGATCACGGTTCCTGGTCAGCCCTGGCAAAGAGTTTGCAAATCCCCATCTCCAAAATAATCAGAGCAAATGGACCAGAGGTGTGGCTCAAGTGGTAGAATGCCTGCTTTGCAAGTGCAAATCTCTGAGTTATGTAACTCAAGTGGTAGAATGCCTGCCTAGCCAAGTGCCAGGCCCTAAGTTCAAACCACAGTACTGCAAAATAAACAAACAAATAGGACTTGTTACCTCAAGGAAAATGACTTGGTAATATCTGTGTAAATGTTAAAATTCAAACTTTCATGCAAAAGAAATTAGAATTTTGTTAAACTTTTCATCTTAGTTTTCCAATAGTTAAAAAAAATTTGATGAGCTAGAATTTGATTTTTTTATATTATATAATGAGATATATCAACATTTTAAGATATGCATAACCCAACAAAACCAGTATTTCCCAAATGACTTAATGCATGGTGTTACAAAAATACACATGGGTGAAAGATCATTCAAAAGACAAGACAGTGGAATGGATATTTCCTCAACCGAGGAAGAGTTCATTGGTCTGGTTTCGGATTTCACAACACAACCAATATTTAAGAAACTTCCACTGCCAAGTTTTGGTATAGCATCAGGGTTCAATACAGAATCAAAGAATACCACAATGATCTAAAAAGGCTATTAAAATACTCTTCCATTTTTTCAAACTACGAATTTGTGAGAGACTAAAATTGTTTCATGTTTTTAACCAAAACAAATTGAACAGAGGCAAATATAAGAATCCAGTACCTTTTATTAAGCTACATATTAAAGAATTTTACAAAAAAAAATATATAAAGCAGAGTCACTGCTGTTCATGTCACTATATTTAGTTTTATCAACCACACTGATACCAGCCCCTGGGACAGCACTAGAGACTATGCAGCAGTACTGGTACCCACAGGTCTGGCACAGGAAGGCATTCAGCACATCAGCAGCATCATAGGACTTGGTGTGGTTTGAGTTTGGAAGAAACAGGAAATGGCACATTTGATATGTCATCAGCACCTAAAATGATGGCATCATGCAACTGGTAGAGCATAGGAATCAGTGATTCAAATGGTAGAAGTCAACACAGAGAAAGACAGGAAAAAAAGCATAAAGAGACTAACTACTTCATGAAAACCGTCAGTACTGGCTTAGTAAATGAAGGAGACCACTCTTGGAAGTACATTATTGCTATGGGTGAATGGGGGTAAGATACAGTTATTTGTAAACAAAAGGAAGAGAAATACCCTGTGTGACTGTTGTGGAAGCTTTACTTTTACCCTATGTTACCACAGTCTGTAAAACATGGATCACCACATACCTCTCAGCAAACCCATCCATCTGAAAGAAATCATGTTGTAGGAGCTCAGCACAGACAGGCCTTTTGTCTGGATCAACATGTAAGCATTTCTGAAAAATCAGGAACACATAAAATTCTTATTCAAGAAGTGCCTACAGCTAAAATTCTAAATATAGAAAATTTCTCTTTATAGTCAATTAATTTTAAAAATGTATAATCAAGGATAAAGAATAAAGCACAAATTCAGGACAAACCATCAATGGTTGCTAATATCACAAAAAGAAAAACCACCAGACATTCAGTGTCTCTAGATGGAAATACACAAACTCCTGTGAATTAGTCTTGTCAAAAAATAAACCTGACACATTAAACTACATTATATAGAAAGCTATAGGGGACATACAGACTAGTTGCTTCAACAAATTGCAAAATCTAAACAAAAAAAACAGATTAAAAGAAGCTTAGCTAAGCATTGTGGGGCATGCCATATCGTCCAGCACTCAGGAGACTGAGGTAGGAGAATCACGAATTCAAGGCCAGCCTGGCCTACAAAACAAAATCCTGTCTCAAAAAAAAAGAAAAAAGAAATAAGCCAGACTGAGAAAGACAAATATCACATGCTCTCTCTCATATCAAAATGTAGACTTTAAAAAAAAATAAGTATGACACAAAAGTAAAATCAGAGGGTGGGGTACTGTGTAGGGGTAGGAGCCAATGGGAAGAGGAAGGATGAAAGAAAAGGGTGAAGAGAGGGGTGAATACAATCAAAGTATTTCATACGTATGTATGAAAATATAATAATAAAACCCATCAACATTGTTTAAAGGGGGAAAGGGATTTAAAAAAGTAATAGAGGGGTGAATTTGATCAAAGCACATTACATGCACATGCTCATATGCATGTACGGAAGTATCAGTGAGGCCCCTTTGTGCAATTAATATGTGCTAATAACAAAGGGGAAAAGAAAAGACATCGATCATTTGCAATCTATACATGTCATTTGGATCCTAATTTAAAACTATGAAAAGAAATTATGTCAAAATCAATTAAAACTTGGCATATTAACTACATACCTAATTACATTAAGGAATTAATGTGAATTTTTAAAAACTTAGTTTTCTCAGAATGGAAGAGAAAGGGCCTAATCTGTAATTATTACTGTAAGAGGTCTTTTCCACAGATGATTCTGTTTTAACACAAGTTTTCACTATGACTCATTGAAACCCCTCAATGGCAATGAAAATAGAAGGACTCAGTAAATAGCTTTAAATGAACAAGATAAATTCTATGAATTATTTTTAAACTTATATTATATAAATGAAATTATATACCACGTGATATTTGCTTCAAAATATACCAAGAAAAAAAAGTTGAATGGACAGATTAAACAAGATTATCAAAAAACTTAGTAAGTGCTTAAGTGCTGAAGCTAGATGTCAGGTAAATGAGGATTTATTATACTATTATGCTTTCAATGTTTGAGATTTTCTATAATAAAATGATTAATAAGGTATTTTATTCTACTTTAGGGCTATAAGTTGAACTACAGTTTAACCTTTATTCCCTTGAAATCTCTTTATAGATAGATCATAAAGCTGGTCCCAATGAAATATATTTCATCTATTAGATTACATAGAAAAGTAGAAATATATTATTCTAAAAATCTGTTAAAGATAGTTATATATAGTTACATATAGTTATAAAGCGCCCTAAACTTTTTCTAATGAGTTAAAGAAAACAAAAAATGTTGAATAACTGTTACCTGATCCTGGTGTCTTAGAGATGTTTGTTTTAGCAGTAGCCTGGACAATTCTAACTAATGAGAACTTTTGAGCGAATAATGTTAAAGGGTAGACATCTAAGACAACTTGAAGCAGTGAAAACCTCCCTGTATCTTCCCCAGTTAAATACAAACAAAAAAGATGGTCATTCATAAATTGGCTTTAGTAAATCCAGTGTCTAAGCAAGTCTCTCTGACATTACTACAGATGGTGATCCTATGTTCCACTTTAATTTTTCCAAATTCTCTAAGCTTGTTTTCACTTCTTATCCTACTTTTCTTCCCATTTCCATTTAAACATTGTAAAATAGTTTTTATGTTTTGTGTGTTTTTAGATAAGAATGTTTTCAAAATGCTAGACATGTTTTCTAATGCATTTTAAAACAGGTAAAATGTTCAGGCTTTTATCTCTGAAGTACACACACACACACCCCAAATTCCTGAAACTGCTTCTTAATATACAAAAATTGTTGACCTAAAGGATTAACTAGAAAAAAAAAGGCAGAGAGAAAACTATATCTCCATAATATCTAAATTCCCTATCAGAAAATGAAAAGAAAACTATGATTACCTTTGCTAAATTTATCACAACTTCAGAGAGCTGAGGGTAGCGTTTCTCAAGAGGTGCTGTTTCCTTGATTTCAGGCAATCTTACTCCAGCAAACACAGGATTTTTATAAAACAGCTCCTGATGTCTTGGAATTAAATTACCTATAAACGAAAACAGCCCACTTCTCTGTCATACATGATACAAATGGTGAAGAGACAGGTGGTATGGAGTAGAGGAAAAAACAGAACACAGCTTATGGAGTTTGGAACTCTCTTAATATGTAAAATAACCAAAGATAGAGCTCTTACTGAAATGGCAGGATTTTGGTTTTGGTTTTTTTCTTTCTTTTTGTTACTGGGGTTTGAACTCAAGGCCTTGCCCTTGCTTGGCAAGTACTCTACCACTTGAACCACACCCCCCAGCCCAGATAGCAGTCTTTAACACAAGTCAACTAAGGAAATTAATTTTGCTAACTCAACACACTCATTTTAAAAAGTTTATATGCAACCATGAATAGAATCAAAGTAAGAGAGCATAGGAAAAAGACAAAGAATGGTTTATAATTTTATAGATAGAAGTACTGCACTTCATTTCTCACAACAAAATGTATTGCACTGACAAAGAAAATGAAAATATAGTAATCTCATCTAAATAAATCAGTGCCTCCCTTTAAGAATTTAATTTTTGGGGCTGACAGAGTAGCTCGAGTGGTGGGACATCTGCCTAGCAGATGTGAGTCTCTGAGTTCAAACACAGTAAAACCGAAAAAAAATTTTTTTTAAATTTTTGGTCAACAGATTTTGTTTCTGTATCTGAGGTCATATTTGAACATTTTACCTTTTTCTCTACTTCAACACCTAACTTATTATGAAATATGTGTAAAAATACTACTGTAAGAAATCATATACAGTACATTTGTTGAATTCTTTTTTTTTTGTGGTAATGAGATTTGAACTCAGAACCTTGCACATGCTAGGAAGATGCTCTACCACTTAAGCCTGCCCCCAGTCCTTTATGTTTTCATTATTTTTCTTTTTTTGTTTGTTTGCTTGTTTTTGTTTTGGCAGCACTGGTGTTTGAACTGAGGGCCTCACACTTGCTACAGAGGCACTCTGACTACTTGAGCCACTCTGCCAGCCCCTGCCTTCGTTATTTTTCAAATAGGGTCTCACATTTACATCTGAGCAGGCCTGGACTGTAATCCTCCTATTTATGCCTCCTAAGTATCTGAGATGGCAGGTATGTACCACCACACCCAGCTTTTATTAGTTGAGATGGGGTCTCACAAATATTTTGCCCAGGCTAGCCTCAAACTGTGATTCCTCCAATCTCTGCCTCCAAAGCAACTAGGACTACAGGCATGAGTCACCATATCCAATCTTGAATTCTTAATTCAACAAAGAATTGAAACTTAATATTAAATAGTTAAAATACCCCAAATGTTTTCCCATTATTTCCATCTTCTGAGCTCTATATATGAACATGAAGTTGTTATTTCAACAAACTCAAGACTATGATAGTCTAGCTTTGAAATTCTAGGCAAAGCACTATATCAACAGAAGTCAAATCTGAGGCAAGATTAAACTACCTGGGAAGTATCTGTATCTCTCATCTTGAAGGTAAGGATGAGGCTAACAACTGCATTTCACCAAAGGCTTAATGGTCCAAAGATGGTAAGTGATTGCTTTCATCCTCTCTGCATGTGATTAACTGAATGTAAAAGTGCAGAGAAATATACAATCTCTGCTCTATTTCTTTTCTGTGAGGGGGAGGCAGAGGTGAGCATGATTAGGAACATGCGTCAGATAAACCAAAACGTATACATGTGTTTTCCTAATTGTTCCCTAGTATCACTTAGCGCAGCATCACCTTTAACATACCAATAACTTTAAAAATCAACATGAACAAACACATGGGGGAAACATCTAAAATTGAAACACAGATGTGTAATCTTACCTAAACACATCATAATATGATATAGCTGATCAATATCAGACTCTCCAGGAAATAGGGCCTCCCCCATGAGCATTTCAGTTATCAGACAACCAATGGCCCACACATCAACAGCCCTGAAAGAAAAGCAATGTGATATAAAACATGGCAACCTATTTAACATGTTTACTGAAACTTCATCTGTTCTGCATATTACTATTTGGTATTCTTGGTATTGAGAATAGCAGTATCAAGTCCTAAATTACCTATAAAAAGACATTTCTCTGTAAGTTAAGAGCTCTAACTCTCAATTTTCACAAGTGAGATTTTCAGAAACTTCAATTGGCACTAGAAGGAAAAGGCTTCTGAAAAGTCAAAACAGTTATGATATATACTTTATTCTGAAAATAAGATTCTCAAGCTTCTATTCAGGGCCTATTTGCTTACACATAGTTCTAACAAGACTAATCAGTCTATTCTTTGGTACACTGAAAAAAAACACACCAAAAAAAGGAGGCAGTTGGTGAGGACAAATAGAGTTACAAAAACTGAAAGCTAATAGGGAGAAAAAGGAAAAAACTAGCTTAAAAATCAGAATAAGAACTCAAAGAACATGTTAGCATCATTGAGCATAGGCACAAGAACCTTGAAGTTTCTTAAGGTCATTAGTAAAGTGTAAAACGGTACAAAAATTGTAACAGCAGGGCAGTAAAATGAGAATTCAGAGTAATTCACAAAATATTAATGTTTAATGTAGTCTGAAAACAGAGAAACTACAGAAAATATTTTAGAAAGATTTCTGTCAAAAACAATAAAGATTACAGTCTTCTTTGAAGAATTTACTTATGTTGTTTTATGTTTTAAAAATGTTTCATTCAATTCTATTTTCCCCCACTCTTATCTACTCCACCCCACCTCATTCCAAGATTCCAAAAGTGTAATTTCTCCAATCAATATGAATTTCTCTTTGCAAGTGAGATATGGAGAGAGAGAAAAAGAGATTTCTAAGCCATTGTATATAAAAAAAAAAAAAGGCAGACCATTAACTTAATTTCCCCACCTTTAAAATAATTATACCCATCTCAGCTTGGTTCACAGGATTTTTTTTTTCAGTGTTGGGGATCAAGCTCAGAGCCTCTCACATGCTAGGCAAGCTCTCTACCACTGAGCCTTACTTCAAACCCTCACTAGAATTTTTAAAGGGAAAGCACCAAAAATGAAAATAATTACATATCACTTTATAAACTTCCCTAAACTTGTCTTCCTTTCAGTATTAGAAGGATCATTTATTATTATAAACATACTCTACTTTATCAAGAAAACAGAGTTAAAATCTGTTCCTTGTTATTATTGATGTCTTACTTGCCATACTTGACATCACCAACCAATAGTTCTGGAGCTCTGTACCATCGGGTGGCCACATAATCAGTATAAACTTCCCCAGGAGCTGCCAACGTTCTTGCAAATCCAAAGTCACATAACTTGACAACACCAGACTGGGAGACTAATACATTCTCTGGCTTTATATCTCTGTGTATGATCTAAGACAAAAAAGAGCATAAAACATATGTTAAAAATTATTTGCAGGATACCTGCCATAAGCAGGGCACTGGGTTTTTTTGGTTTTGGGCCCTATAAAGAATACAAACAAACACATATACAATTGTTCCTGGATTTAAAGAATGTGGGACCTAGTTGGGCAAAAAAAAATATTCAGGCTTAAAGTTTTATTTAAACTATCAAAGATATTTAATAAAATATATGGTATTAACAAATTGTTCATTTAATGACTTCTCTCAAAATTGAGAGTAAAGCTCTCAGTAAAGACTAGGGATAGTTAAGGAAATTTTTTCATGAAAAGGGTAACCTCCATAATAAGTTTTTAATACAGTAATGAATTGATCATTCATGTGTCAGGCACTACTCAAGTATTTTACATATTTAACTTATTTTATCCAGATAATAACACTGAGATAGGTGCTATTATTATTTCCATTTAACACAGAGCTAGGTCTGAGGTTTAGAGATGGGGTTTTAGAGGTTTTGGGAGAAAATTGGTATAAAATCATAATCTAGAAGATTTGAGAAAGAATGGGTAAGGAGAAAGCATATGGATATCAGGCAGTGCTAAAGCTCCCTTGATGTACATGGTCATAAATTAGAGAGAGGCTGGTTCTCTCCCCATAAAAAAAAAAATCACATTTTACATAGATTAAAGGGGCATACGAATGCTCTGAAGTTTATGCATGGAACCACTATATATTAAAACCTCATTCCTTAAAGACAAAATGACACTTAGGCCAGCAACATTGCCTGAGTATACTAGTATGTCTAAAGGTAGAATGTGCTCTTAAACATGAATTGACTGGTCATTAAGGTGTAAAATATAAAGAGACACAGAGGCAAATGAAGACAGAATACATTCAAACACTCTTCAAAAGAAAGATAGCCAATGATGTTTTTGTATACTGGTTCCATTGGCAAGCCTACCTTTAATGCAGAAATGAATGCAGAGAGCTCAACTAACTGTTGTTAAGTATTACTGGTCCACTGAGAGGTTATTTTATGAGAAGGATTAATCAGTGGTTTTTAAATTGAAACCACTAAGTATTTGCTTCCTTAATACCTCATACTGTTCTGATTTCCTGCACACCCAATATTATTATTACATTTCATATATTCCCTTGTAATAATCATTTCTCAAACTTTACACTGGCATTGAATTTCCTGAGCTTGGTTAATGTAAGTCTGCTCTAAGAGACAGAATTATTCTCAAAATTAGGATTCTCAAAATCAATGTTCTAAGACTAGATCATTCCAAAGTTGCTAGGAGGCCACTTTGGGGGTTTCCTAAAGATGCCCAGACAGTGTTTCTAGGTAGGAAATAGACATTTGCCCTATTGAGCAATTGTTCTAATATATATGTATGTAAATATATATATTATGAACTATACAATATAACTACTATATAATAAAATTATATATAAAACTATAAAAAAGACTTAACAAGAAAACTGAAAATAAAGGCACATAGATTATTTTTTCTTCTTTTTCTGATTATCTTCATTTTTCAAATTTTCTACCATTAGCATTTATTACTTTTATAATTACATAACAATGTTACTTTAAATATTTTGTAAAAAATGGACGAATATGTTGTTATTCATTTTATACTTCATAGGTGTCATTTTTCCTGGAGAGTAATACAGTATAGGATAAGAATATAAATACATAAATAAATATATAGATAGATATAAATATATTGGGGGGGATACTGGGGTTTGAACTCAGTGCATCACACTTGCTAGGCAGGTGCTCTACCCTGTGAACCACTCTGCCAGCCCTTTTTTGTGTTAGGTATTGATCAAGATAGGGTCTTGCAAACTATTTTCCTGGGCTGACCTCAAACTGCAATTCACCTGATTTCTGCCCCCTGAGTATCTAGAATTATTGCCCAGCTAAGAATACATATTTTTCATATTTTCATACTTAGGCAAGAAAACATGAATTAACTAATACATATATCCTTTGTATATGCATTTATTAAAGCTCATCATTTCAAATTTTTGCATTTCAATCAATAAGTGTTACCCTAAAAAAAGAACAGTGGACAAATATTTAAGTCTCATCAATGATATGCACAGATAAAGAATTTAGTGTTGAACAAGTATACAAATGTCTACAGTTTACTTTAAAATGCATAAACAAATAATACAGGTTAATAGATTAACAGATGAACAAATATGTGAGAAAGCAAATACAGCAACATTAAGTACAGAATCTAGATAGTGGGAATAGGGGTGTTTAGTATGTACCTTTTCAACTTTTCCGTGTGGCCTAAAATTTTTATAGTATGGTGGGAAGAATCAATACATATATTATGACACATGAAAATTGACAATATCAAAGTAATATAGTTTATTTCAATAATTTTACTAGTTCAAACTTTAAACCAATATCTCACTAAATTAAGTGACTATTATCTGGACAGTTAAAGATTAATTATAATCAAAATAATTATTTAAATTTAATACTTACATTATGACTGTGACAAAATCCAATTCCATTAATAATTTGAAACAAATATTTTTGAACTACTTGGTAGTCTAGTCCCTTTGGAAAGAGTTCCAAGTCATCAAGAATTGTGTGGTCAACAAATTCAAAGACTAGGTACCATCGTTTTTTCTTCTTACACACTTCCAACAAATTCACCAAATTTTCATGTCTCAGTTGCTGTCAAAACATGCAAAATTGTTTTTATAAAACCAAATTATTGGCAACGAGTCACAATCTAAAACAGAACATTGCAAAAGAAAAATATATAAATATAAAATAAACAATTATAAAAGTATATTCTGATTTTAAAATAATAGTCTTAAGACTACTGTTACTCTCTCCTCTCAGAGAACACAATAAAACCAAAGAGAAAAAGAAATGTGACTCCATCTTTGATGAAACTAGGAGGGATTTATGACCCTTACACACCATAATAAATGAATAAATGAAGTGGAACTACCAAATGTAGTCAGGTCAAATAGGAGTGTAAGAAGACACCAAAATATCATCTGTAACTATAAGTTGACAGAGCAAGAGTTCTCCAAAGTTGGAATCATAACCTAAAAAGAAAAAAAAAATCCTTCCTTAATATAATGGGAATAGGATTCTTGGGTAGCAGGGAAGGCACCCTTAGAACTGAATAGAGCAAGGGAGAAAGGGCTGAAAAAGGAATCACACAGAAGCACATGTTCTGGAAATAATCTATCAGAGCAGAAGGCAAGTAATTCATTATGAAGAAAACGGAAAGTACAAGTTTCAGAGAAATAAAGGCTAACAGAATTCAATCCCACACTCAGGCCTACAACATAAGAAATGTCATTGGTGGACTCCTGCTAGGCTGAAACAAAATCCTAGCCTCTTCCCTAAATGAACCTCCTACCAATAACTGGTCCAAGAAGGATCACTTTATTATGAGAAATATTCAAGAACCTGAGAGCATAGCTCAGTGGGAGAGACTTAGATGAGGCCTTAGATGAGACCCCAGCACAAAAAAAAAAGGAAGGAAGGAAAGAAAAAAGAATCAAACAGAAATCAACCTCGGATCTGTTCAAAGATACTATAAGAAAAGAGAAACACATACAAATGGCCAATTAATACTACCAAAAAAAAAATTGCCATCTTTAAAGAGAAAGAAACCACTAGAATATAGCTCTTAAATCCTCAAGGAAAGACATGATAGCCAACTAAATTGTCATTTAAGTAAAAGGCAAGACAAATTTTGAACATTTCATGCAGAAACAAATCTTATACAAATGTGGCATTATGGTTATGAAATAGAAAATGAATATTTAAAACTCAACAATATACAAACGATATTACTAACACAGGTAGAAAAAGGAAGATTCAAACAGGATAAAAGTGTATGTAGGCTGATTTCTTTGTCAGTAGGTCAAAATGATAGCATTTGACCTGAAAATTTAAACTTCAATGTCTAATACTTATGGGTTTAATATTTAACACTAAGAAATATTCTAATGCCAGATGGAATATGCCTGGGAGAGAGGGAGAAATAGAAATATAACAATTGCAGGGTTGGTGGAATGGCTCAAGTAGAGTTCATGCCTAGCAAGCATGAGGCCCTACTCATGCTTCAAACCCTAGTACAGACAAAAAAATATATATATAACAATTTCTTTAGAAAAGAGTATGTATATTATATACTGCTATAATTACAAAGGTAACTAGCTGCACAAAAATAAAACCTTTCCAAATTACCAAAGGAAACATCCAATAAAAAAATAAGGAATTCAGAAACCACATAGAAAAATACTTTTCAAGGAATAATAAAACAGCATATTATAAATAACAATAATACTTATATAATACCTACTATGTTCCAGGCATTAGGCTGAGCACAAAAGTCTATAAAATAAGTACAGTTATCCTATTTTATAAATGAAGAAACTAAAGCACATAGAGGTTAAGGAAGCCGTCCAAGGTTACATAGCAATAACTGCAAACTGTGGCCTCTGTCTTCTCTTGAAGACAGCAAGAAGTTCTTGCTCATTCCTCCTTTCTTCCTCCATGTCCAGAACACCTACACTGTGAACTCACTCAGGCTCACAATTGGTTTGTATGCAAGAAACTTGGATTTCTTTCTTTCTAAAGCAAGGTAGGCAAGGGTTCTACCCGTGAGTTGCATCTCCATCTCCTAGATTTCTTATTTTATACCACAAAGTTATCTTGACTTTAGAGGGAGAAAAAATGGAAACTAAGACCAAATGTTATCTGTTACAATATAACTCTAAATAGGCTAATTTCACATATTAAAACAAAAGATAAAAGATTAGATCATAAAGCACATTCCAAATATAATACTGGTTAAATGAATGAAGGTTTGTTCATACAATGAAATCAAATGCAGACATTAAAAAGAATGAGGAAATCCTACGTCTACTGATAGGCAATAATCACTAAGGTATGTTAAGCAGAAAAAAGCAAGATGGAAGTCAGTGTGTAGAGTTTGTTCTCATTTGTTACATGCACATACACCACCTCATGCATACCCAGAGAACTGTGTATGAATAGAATCCTCTTATTTTGGGATGACTAACAGTACTCAACCTATGAATAAGTGTGAACCATAAATAGACTATCTCAAGGACTCAAATCATGTAAATCCCTCAAATAGATCAAGATGATATCAAAAAGTTAGTAACACTGGGTTTCCTGAACACTAGGTCCTCAAGAGTCTCACAGAAGCAAACATAACTCCTCTCAAGTAGAAAATATCATTCAGAAAGTCAAATTATATATATAATTTTTAGAGTAGAGGGGAGGGGAGGGGAGGAGAGAACATTAGGAAAAAATAGGAGATCCAGATTACAGAGTTATTAGATATAAAAGTCTATATTTGAAATATGAAAGAATGTAAAATGGAGAGTTTCTTGAAACCATAAGAATGAAATGGAAAGTCTAGGCTTGAAAAGTACAATATCTTTCATTAAGAAATCAATGGTTGGGGGGGGAGGTAAAGTGTATGCTTAGCATGCACAAAGCCCGGAGTTAAATTAGAAAGAAAAGGGAGGGAAGGAGCGAGGGAGGGAGGTTCGGAGGGAGGGAGGGAGGGAGGGAGGGAAGGAGGTTGGGAGGGAGGGAGGGAGGAAGGAAGAAATGAAGGAAGGAAGGGTTGAATTTAATAGAAGATTAGGGACAGCTGAAACAGTATTGAAGTAGAAGATGTCAGAGGAAAATATGTACAATGAAGCATGAAAAAGACGAAAAGATGAAAAATATAAATGAGAGTCTGAGACCTCTGTGAGTAAGGTATACATATGAAACTGAATTCTCAAGTAAAGAAGAGAGTGGGACAGTAGCAATATGTGAAACAATAATAACTGAACATTTTCTAAAAACGACAAATGACATATTTTACAGACACAAGACCCATGTAATTGAAGCAAGATAAATACAGAGATTCATACATAGGCAAAGTGTTATAAAACCATAAAAACCAAAGTCAAAGATAAAGCTTTTAAAAGCATCCAGAAGAATGAAGATATTAATAAGCACAGTAAGAGGTGGCCCAAACAATGTATACACATATGAACAAACGTAAAAACAATTAAAAAAAAAAAAAAGAAAGAAACACACGGTGGCTACCGCATGTAGTTCCAGTTACTTCGGAGGCTGAGTCAGAAGGATCACTTACGACCAGAAGTCTGAGGTCAGCCTAGAGAACATAGTACAGTAAGACTGACAGCTCATGTTCAGTGGGAACTAGCAGCACAGTACAACTCAATTTTCAACTTAGAATTCTATGTTCCGTGGATATAATCTTTTAAACACAAAGTAAAATAAAAATTTGTTTTCAGACCAACAAAAATGAACAGAATTTCATGCCAGAATATCTGCTTTAAAGAAAATAATTTACCTGAATAGAGTAGGAAGGATAATGAGGGGATGAACCAAACCAGGGTATAATATATATATGGAAATGTTACAGTGAAACCCCCTGAATAACTATCATATACTAATAAAATTTTTTTTAAAAATTATTTTAAGCACAAGGAAAATTATCCCGTATATAATGACTGAATATTTGGGGAGGAATTTGACTATACATAGAATTAAAAAATATGAGAGTAATAACACACATTCCTAAATTGGCAAGGGAAGAAAGGGAAGGAGTAAGTAGAGTTTAAATTTCTAAGATTTAAGGAATATTTCTAAGATTTTTGCATTGTAAAAGTACCCATTTGGGCATTAGTAATCAAGATTGTATATAATACCTAATAGAATCTCTAAAAGACTAGTAAAATAACTAGGAATATAACAAAGGGGATGAACTTGTTCAGTGTACATTATACAAATATATGGAATTACCACAATGAAACCTCCTTGTATTATTTGTTAATGTATGTTAATTCAAAAATATAATGAAACTATTAAAAAAAGAATTTTAGAAAAAACAGTAAAACATTTCTAATTAATGAAAATACTTATGATTTCAATTTATTTGTGTTTTGTTGGTGATTCCTATGGTTTGGATATAGTTTGAATGTCTTCCCAGGCTTCAAGTGTTGAAAATTAAGTCCCCATATTATGAAGCATGAAGAGGAAGAAAATGTAATCTGGCTATGGTGGGGCCTTTAAGAGGTGATAGGGATTTGATAAGGTCATTAAGATGGACTCCCATGATCAAATTCTGGTGTCTTGACAAGAAGGAAGAAAGGGACCAGAGATACACATACACATACATGAGCTCCCTGTCTCTTGCCATATGATACCCTATCTCACCCCAGGACTATACTAGCAAAAAAGGCTACCACCAGGTGTATCTCCTAAATGTTGCACCACCAGAACTGTGAGCCAGAGTAAACCTCTTTTTCTTTCTAATTTGCCCAGTCAGTGTATTTTCTCATTAACAACAGAAAACAGATCAATGAAGTGATTTTTATAGCTATAATTACTATCAGTAGAAACAAAAAAAATGCATTTGGGTTCATTTTCCTTTCTGGAACATAACACCAAAGCTCACAGAATTAACACTGAAAACTTCACAAAATAGCAATTACCTAAAACAATGAAAATCATTTGAACTTGATAATTACTGTTATGTTGCATTTTCTCAGTGGGAATATGTAACTATTTTGGCTTCTCAGATGAATAAATGAAAGATATGCCCATGGTGGGGGTAAGAAACTAGTAAAAGAATTAATAATAAAAGAATTAAAAAGGGATACGAAAAATAGAGAAGGCAACTAGGAAGATGACAAACACAAATACAAATATATGAGTAATAACATTAGATATAAAAAGACTAAACACTCCAATTAAAATAGAGTGCCAGACTAGACAAAAGAACCAATGATATTCTTATAAGAGATACAAAAGGCACAGAAGGTAAATAGAAAAAAAAGATTAAAAAGTATATAAATATCCAAAACAGTTGGCATAGCCATATTAATCACAAAGTATATTTTAAAATAAGAAGACCAAAACAACAAGAAATTATATAATATTTATGGACTAGATGCAGTATTGTAAAGATACCAATTCTCCCCAAACTGATCGACATAATTCAATAAAATTCCTTGAGTTTTCTGTGGAAATTAGTAAGTTCATTCTAAAATGTATATGGAAATGCAAAAGGACAAATACAAACAAGACAATTTTGCAGAATGAAATAAAAACTTACAAACCAGATAAAAAAACTTACAAACTAGAATAAATATGTCTTATGGGATATTGGCACAAACACAGAAATAGAACAATGGAACATAAAAATGGCAGAAAAAACAACTTACATATAAGAACCTTCACTTAGCAAAAGGGCATTCAGAATAGTGGGGAAAAGATTCTATTTTCAATGAACATTTCTTGGACAACTGGACATCCACAGGAAAATGACATATGATTTAATTGTACCATATACCATAATTAAGATTAGTTCCATCTCAGAACTGGGAAGCCTGAGGCAGAAGGCCAGCCTGAGCTACATAGTATGACCTGTTCTCTCTGCCTCTCAAAAAAACAGAAAAAGAAAAACATTTTAAATAACTCAGAGGTTAAGGGAACTAAAAGGGAAATGGGAAAATATTTTGAACTAATAATCAAAACTTCTGGAACACATACCAAGCTATTTTTAGACAAAAATATACAGTCTTAAACTCGTGTGTGAGGTTGGGGGGGCACTACAAAATAACCCATCCAGAATAAAAGAAATGAAATAATAAAAAACAAAAATTAGTGAAATAAAAAACAAATATACAATAAAGAAAATTGAGAAAAATCAAATGTTGGTTCCTTCTAAAGATAAACGGGAGAAAGAGAGAGACAGAGACAGAGAGAGAGAAATTGAGATTTTACAGCAGAAATTTAGGATTGAAAGCTGCTTGCAAAGCGGGCCCTTTGCTGGCACCAAGGAACGTAGATTTCAGGAGGGTTCCTTCATGTCCAGAACTGATCTGGTGGCTCAGTGCACAAACAATATTGTTTCTACTGAATATCTGCTTGCTTTCTGGAAGTGTAGAATTTTGACAGGTGCCAGACAGAGAGTGCCTAGGTGACCAGTCCCTAATAAAAGCCCTGGGCACTGAGTTTCTAATGAATTTCCCAGGTAGACAGTATTCCACATGTGTTATCACAACCCCCTGCTGGAGGAAATAACCACATCTTGTGTGACTGCATTGGAAGAGGATTCTTGCAAGCTGGTCCTAGGTTTCCTCTGGATTTCACCCTTTGTTCCTTTTGCCTTTGCTGATTTTACTTTATATCCTTTCACTATAATAAATCATAGCAGTAAGAACTACTATATGCAGAGGACCTCAGGGTAGTCTTTGGGACACCCACCCCCCATCACAGACACTAGATTGACAGCAGATAGATTCAGAGAGAAGAAACAAATACTTTTAAAATCATTTACCATTCACTAGATAAATAAATGCACATTTATATAATCATTTTATTTCTTCCTATTTCCAAAAGGAAATTTATTCTTTAAGTTCTATAATAAAACAAATATCAAAACACAGTAATAGTTGCCTAACAGCTGTAACAATCTTGATCAAGAAATGATACATATTTTTTCAATTCAATGCATGTATTCACTTACCTTTAGTAACTTGATTTCTCGCATAGCGATTTTTTTAACCATTTTGTCATCATCACTTTCTAAGAATTTCTTGATGGCCACAATTCTTCCACTATCTTTATTCCTACACTTCATCACCATTCCATAACTCCCTTCTCCAACCAATCCTAGATTCTCATATTTTTCCATTTTAATTTAAAACCAGTAAGAATTTTTCTTGCTGTGGAAACCAACACATAGAGTTAACAGGTTAGACATAATAGTTTGCTCTGCTGTCCCAGCAAAGTAGCTCTTTCCTGCTTGTTTTTTACTCATGGTGTACAGGCTACCTGTGCCAATTCACGATTTCTTAAGTGTTTCCATACCTAAGATATGTTTTCAAAATATTCATACACATTTCATAATAAACAAGGCAAACAAACTGAAGTCATTGAATTTAAATTACTATGTGTCATGTTAATGAAATTTAACATATTTTAATTTACATAAATACTTAAACTATCATACAAAACAATATGGCTCATTTTGGAAAAGCACAATTCCATTTCACTCAAAGGTGAAAAAAGGCCACAACTGCATTTAGTTTTAATGAAGATCAAATTTTTTAAAACCCAGTTTAAAAAGTCAAAGTTGGAAATCTTTATGCACTTTCTACTCAATTGGTAAAAATATTTTATCACAAAATAATCATCAAACTTACACTGAATCTTTGATTTTTTTTTACTTTTCTTCAACACTAATTACTTTATTGAACTTATAAAATAAGACCAATGACATCACAGAATATAAACATATTTTCAAAGAAATTAAATATTAGTGCCACCAAATACAATGTCAAGAGGCAGAGTGACTGCCTAGCAAGCAGGAGTCCCTGAGTTAGAACACTGTACTGCCAACAAAACAAGGAAAAACAGCCTGTTAATGATTAATGACTGTAAGCATGATCACTTGAATATTGTGGTTAGGATTCTTTTACATCCATTAGATGGCATTTTCTGAATAAAGTTAATGATAATAGGATCTCTTGTTTTACCAATGATTGATGGAGGTCCAGTAATCATTTCACTACATGTCTTGGTACAGAAAAAAATTATTTCAGGACTGAGGATGTAGCTCAGTGGTAGAGTATGTGCTTAGCATGTACAAGGCCTTGGGTGTGAACCCCAGCAAAACACACACATACACACACACACACACACACACACACATCCAGATACAAATAGACTTTTTTTCATGAGGTTTGATTACCATGATATTAAAAGTTATTAAACTACAACTTCAAAGGTTAATTATTTTTAAAATCTGATTTTTGAAGTAAATTCCAAAAGCCATGCATAAAAACATTGCTCTAAATCCCAATGTGGTTTCAGTGGTTTTGAGAGAAGAAAAGAAGTCTTTTTGTAACTTTACATTCAAATGATCCATAGCTGAATTTTTAAACCTGACAATATAAAACCACTCATTCATAAGACGGTGAAAGAAAAAAATTTCCTGCCTGTTATATTAATTGTGTACTTATGGTAATCTAAAACTAATTTACCCAGATTGTGAATCCTGGTGATGTTTGACTTCCTTCCCTGTTGGTACACAGCCCTACTACCAGTTTTGATAGTAGATTCTACCACAAACTATGTCAGAGCAGTGTCCTGAACACTGACTTTCCATGTATTCAACATTTTAATTTCTATTTAACTTCAATTAACTATTTTAAAGTCAGATTTTTTCCTTGGGCTTTACTGGGATTTGAATTCAGGGCCTCACACTTGCTAAGCAGGCTATCACTTGAGCCACTCCAGTGGCCCTATTAACTTTTTTTTAATAAAATGTTTGTATTTGAAAAAATTCTCAACGTAATTCCATCCTCCTTTCCTTAATTTTTTGTCCTTCCATGAAGAATGTATGTTTTATTAAGGGCTAGGCTTTAGGTTTGTCATACCAATGACAAAAAATAGAATCTATAACAGGGGTCATTTTAAAACATTTTGTAATTGGCATTCTTAACGTTTGAAAATGCAGTGAACAAAATAAAAATTGTCTTAAGTATATCTCAGATGTTCTGAAGCACATCACAAGCTAATATTATACCAGCTACCTGCTCCAAGTTTATTTTCTCGACCAACTGCACATTTGGACACACCCCACTGAACACACCTGCTTTTCTAAGTGGCACTGCCACAAATACCTTAAAAGTATCACGGCCTACAAAATCCCTTGGTTCCTGAAACAGTTACTTATAAACCATTTCTTTTATGCCTTCTACTCCTGAACCTAAGGGTAACACAAAGTTAAAAAAAAAAAAAAAAAAGCTGGCGCTGTGGCATTTCAGGACATGTGTCATGTAAGCATATGGTTCTAACACCACCAATTTAGGTAAAAAATACTTAGAAAGTGCTAGCTTTTTATTTTGTTAAAGACAGATTTAGAAATCTGACAGATAAAAGAACGAGATAATCGAAGTTTTTAAAAGTACTATACTTACTGTTTCTTCAAATCCTTCCACCTGGAAAAATCCAAAGGTTTTCAACTTGGAAACAAATTTAAGGTGAAATGCATGTCGCCAGCTGGTCTGAAAGACGCCGACTAGCAAACTACCAACCCCAGGGCTGTGATTTCTTCTGCAGACGCAGTGACGGGTCCTAGGTCAAGCAGGCGGGGAGGCAGACGGGCCTCCGCCCTCCGCAAGCTCACACTTCCGAGGACCGCGGGCCGCATGCTGTCGTCGTCAAGGCAACGGCCTCACTCTGTCCCCAGCCATAGGCACGGCCCCCAGAGACCCAAGCCCGAATGCGTCCACTGCAGTCACCAACACCAACAACTGTCAAAGCCAAGGCCGGTAGAGAAATAAGCTGGGACCAAAGGGCAGTGCTTCCCAGCTCGGAAGCCACCGGGTCCCTCGAGTCTCCCTGGCAGCACCGCTCCAAATAGCCAGGGGCGAAGGCGTTGGCCCGAGCTGCAAGGGGCGGGTTCTCACGCGCCTGGGCCCGCCCCGCGTGCGCAAGGCCCCCCTTGTTCTGATTGGCTGGGTGCTGTCGTCAGGCGCCATGATTGGCTTAGCGCCAAGCCCCCCCCCTCCCACCTCCGCTCCTACACCTGGGGCTCCACCCAGGTTCTGCGAGATGAAGTGCGGCCCATGCAGCTCTTCACACCTACGTTCTCAAGTTAGGAAGCACCTCTCTTCCCTGTCCATGGACACCTCTGCTCGTCCCGGAGCGCAGAAGGTGAGTCTAGTGGCCTTGCGGAGAGTTAAGGTGACGGTTATGTAGGACAGAGAGCGCGATGGAAGAATCTTCGGCACGCCCGCCCCGGGCGCCTCACGCCACCGGCAGGGGGTGCTTCCTTTCCGCGCCAGTCGGGCCAGGGAGGAGACGAAGGTGCGCGCTAGGAAGCGGCCAGCAGACGACACAGGTGACAGAAGGTATAAATCAAAGAAAGGGACAAGCACAGGAGTGAGGAAAGAGGAAAGTGCTGGGATGGGCACAGCCAGTGGGATGGGGTTGAAGCTTACCATATTTAAACCTTGCCTTAGGTGTGAGGCACACGCCATCCATGACAGTATCCTGCATTTGCTGAAGTCACACAAGAAGCTGGACTTTCCTCAATTTCAGGGAATTTGAGGCGGTAAAGCCGCTCATAATAGCCACACGTTTTATAATCATATTTGGTTTCTAGAAATAGCTTGACCCAGGGAAGTGTCCTGCATAGCAGACATTTGTGCCCTAGTCAAGGTATTCATAATTAACGTAGTCATTCTTATGTACTAAGGAATAAACATTGCAATCGTTTGAGTTTGGTTAGCATGCCTTAACCTTCCCATGCTATGTTAGCCAAACTGCTTAAAATGTAGTTCTGAATCAATTAAGACTAGACCTGGATATGGAAATACCCTTCTTTGGTCAACCCAAGGTGTGAGTCTTAATAAAACAGTGAGCTCTGTCCTTATCTGTGACCAAGTTGGAGGGAGCCATGTCCACATTTTGTTTCCTCTACAGGATATAACAATCTGATGAACCTCTTTTAGGTGAGGGACATACCCAAGTTTGTTCAGTGTGAAGCCTAAGAACAAGAGTGTAAAAATATTTCATTTTGCAATTTTGTAACAACAAGAGGCTCTGAAACTTAGATAACCCTGTTTATATTCAATGGAAAAACAAAAAGATAAAGACTGAAAACACTGGATTTGGTGAGCAGGTGATACTTGAGAAAACAATTTCAAAAAGATTGTTTAAAAGACAAGTTTAAAGGAGATGGAGAGTGTTCAAGGATTATACATCTTGGGAAAAGCCACCTTTTGTTGAAAAGGAAGTAGTATGTAGAATCAGGATTATGTTGTTTTCTTTTTAAAACAGGGGAAAAGAGTAGAGTGATGCTTTAAAGAGGCACCAAAAGGAATAATTAATGAAAAACCAAGAAGTAGTGAAGAGGTTTTAAGGTATAAGAGCTCTGACTTGAAGTGTTTTAGAGCAAAGAGGGAAAACAAAAACATACAGGACACATTAACTAGCCTAGATCTTAGCCTTTAACATATTAAAGGCTCAGATATTGAGGCTCAGAGATTGTAAGCAGAACTTCTTTCACATACATAGTCATGACAAGAAGTCATTTAGATATGAAAGGAAAGCAAAAATAGCATAATGTACTCACCTAAACCTGAATACTATGAATTAAGTGACACCAGTTCTTTTTCATAGAACTTGGCAACCACAGGGGCAAGAATGAAGAAAATAGAACGTATGTAGTACAAGATTAAGAATCACGATGCTGGAGAAAGGACCACTGGAATGGTATGTTATGGGTTCCAACTAAATAATAAGATAAATTAGGACAGCAGTTGACTAACTGAAGATAGGCAAGAAAATGGAGGTCATCAAAAGCATGAAGAATAAGTTTAATAGGCAGGGCACAGTGGCTCACACCTGTAATCCCAGCTACCTGGAAGGTGGAGATGGGAGGATGGCAGTTTGGGGGCACACCAGGCAAAAAAGTTTGCAAGACATTATCTCAAAGGACAAGCTGAGTGTGGGATATACACCTGTAATCCCAAATTCATGGGAGACATAGGTAGCAGGATTGAGGTCTGAGGCCAATCCAGACAAAAAGTGCAAGACCTTATCTGAAAAATAAAAGCAAAAAAGGGCTGCAGGCATGGCTCAAGGAGTAGAGCACCTGTCTCAATAAATGCAAAGCTCTGAGTAGTAGGACCTATTACTAGTAGCCCACCCCCCACCCCGCAAAAAAGAGTAAGTTTAATAGAAAAGTAGGAGGAAAAAGATGTCAGAGAAAGCAGCTTGTAAATTCAGTATTGTACTTGGCACAAGATGCTATGTTCCATAGTGTGAAATATTGGGACTTGACATGTGGCTTAGTGGCAGAGCACTTGGATAGCACGCATAAGGCCCTGGCTTCAATCCTTGGCACTGCAAAATAACAGTAATAATAAAGGGTGAAATGTTTGACCTTTGGTAGGTCAGCTACCTTTGGTAGCTGAAGTTGAGCAGAAAATGTCATTGAGTTCAAAGAAACTTGAGGTCAGAGTATGAAGTCATTAACACAAACTACCCATCTAAGACTACAGTGGAAAAGTTTGGGAGGGGCATTTTAATTACCAAAGAAAGTGAAAATGTAAAGAAAGCACTGTGGGAATGAGACTGACTTCAAGAGAGGGATGCTTCAGACATGGCAATGAAAATAGACTAAGGAACATATGACTCAGCAACTCTACTTCTGGGTACATAACCAAGAAAAATGAAAACATTCACACAAAAAGCTTGTACATATATCATAGTAGTATTATTCATAATAGCACCAAAGTGGAATCCCAAATGCCCATCAGGAATAAGTAAATTCTGGTAGGGCTGGGAGTATAGCTCAGGGTAGAGCACGAGCTTACCATGCATAGTCCTATGTGTGGTCCCAAGCACAAATCGAGTATAGCCATTTGATGGAATATTGCTCAATCATCAAAAGGAAATGCTGATTCATGCTACATGAATGAATATTGAAATTATGTTACATAAAAGCAGCCACACACAAAATGCCACATTATAACCCATTCATATAGTGTCCAGCATAGGCAAATCCACAAGAGTAGGTTAGTTGTTACCATGGAGAGCGGCTACTAATGGGTATTAGTTTTGTTTTGAAGGTGATGAGAATGTTGTAGAATTAGAAAGTGGTGATGGCTATAAAACCTTGTGAAATACAGCTGGGCACAGAGGCTCAAACCTGCAATTCAAGTTATTCAGAAGGCAGAGATTAGGAGGAATGCAGTTTGAGGCCAGCCCAGGCAAAAAGTTCATGAGACCCCATCTCAACCAGTGGCTGAGCACAATTGTTGCATGCCTCTCATCCCAGCTATGTGAGGAAGTGCAAATGGGAGGATCATGGTTCAGGCCAGCCCAGGCATACAGCAAGATCCTATCTCAAAAATAACCAATATAAAAAGGGCCATATAATAGCCTCAAGGGGAAGACTACCTGCCTAGCAAGCACGGGGCCCTAAGTTCAATCTCCAAATCTGCCAAATAAATAAATACCTTATGAAATATACTAAAGCCACTGAATTGTACACATAAAATGATGCATATAAAAGTTGTATCTCAATAAAAACATAGCAAGCTAAAAAATAGAGCCTCCACCCCACAGTGCTTTAATTTATATACTTTAGCCTACAGTAGACACATTATTTTGTAGAGAATGACTTATAAGAATTTTTGTCAAATGATTCTTACAACCATTCTTTACATATCTGACATCCAAAAAAATGTGTCTGAGCCATTTTCTTGCTTCACTACCCACCTCCCACCAAAGAAAAAAAAAAAACCTCAGTAGGTTCTGAGATCCTAGTTTTCATGGGCTGTGGCATAGCCTCAAACCACCTAGTAAATGGAAGTGTCATAAAATCTTCAGAATGTAAGTTCTTCATTCTCAGCATATTGCAGAGCATGCAACCATAAGCACATTATAGCACTGCTGAGAAAATGGAGGCGTGGTATAGCTCAGTAGTAGAACACATGTGCAAGGCCAGGGCTTTGATCCCCAGCACACACAGAAATAAGTAACGGTAAGTAAAACAAACCTTCCTTTTGAAGTTCAATGTTCTTTGATGGGAAGGTACTTGCCATAGAAGAGTTAATTCTAGGGCTGGAGGCCCTATTTCTTACCTCCTGTCCTTTCTTGGGTATCATCCTTATCACTTGACTGAGATAGGTCTTACTAAAAGTCACTATGACCTCCATCCTGCCAGAGCCATATGTGGAAGATTGCTTGCTACTCACAATAAGCTGGTTCCTCTTTCCTCAACAGATGGCTTACTTTCTGCCTCCAATGAAGTTAGGGATAGCCATGTACTGAATTCTAGCCACTGGAGTACATGTACCATTCCCAATCCAGGCCCATAAAAGCTCCCAGTCAAGATCCTCCATGTTCTTTTTCCCTTTTAGCTGGCTATAAGATGACTCCAGTGTGACCCTGAAGACACCATGTATTAAAGTTAGTAGAGCCTTCATTGACCTGTGTTCCTAAATGACCACGTGGAGTAATGACAGACCACTGGCTTCTTCACCACCACTCTAATGCCTTTTATATGGGGAGAAAGGAACTATAGCATCAAGTCAGACATTTTATGTTCTAATTCATTCACTGTTTTCCTTTACCTCTAAGCAACATTTAGCACAACTGCCTATTCTTTCCTTCTGGTAAACTCTTGAAACTTAAGCTTTCCATAAATGAGTACCTGTCATATTTCATGTGCCTCCCTCTACATGCATCTCCTGTAACAAAGCCCCAAATTTTGGGAAAATGAGAGCTTGCTTTCTTGCTGCTAAACTCGACACACATCAGACAGCGCAGAGCTCTCTTCAGACTCCTGAATTATACATTTAATTGTCTAAGGCTTCTTTTGGATATCCATTTGGCATATGAAATTTAA